GCACTCCCTCCTAAGAAGGAAGCACACTGACCGCAGAAGCGAGATCGAGCTTTATACTGTTAGTCTGGTCCCCTTACCCCTCCCTCCAAGACTCGGATTGGTCCGAGTTACAATCAAAAGTTTCACCATTGGTTAGGTTCACAATTCCATATTCTAATTAGAGAAACCGCAATCCGAGTTACAATTGGTAGAAATCCTGATCCTTTAGTTAGCATATGTATGAGGTTCACTGAGCCTGAGTAGTAGCAGATTCTTGTGCTTGGACATTGATCCCCAATAGCTTGGACTGGTTTGGGCCTTGGGCTGTAAAGATGGGCACCCTGCTGTCTTAAGTGGCCCGAGGAGTGTCACTCTCCCCTTAATTAGTTAGCCATTCAGCACCTTTCCTGTTTTTTGCAACTTATGTTGAGAAGTAGGGGTCCCCTAGAAATGAACTAACTTTGTTTAAGTCCCGAGCTAGGACCCTTTAGTGGGAAAGGGTGCCCCTGCCTCGTTGGCCACCAGCTTACATATGCTTTATTTTTTAAAAAATACAAACATACATACATACAAACATACATACATACACACATATATTTTGGAAAATAGAACCAAGATAAGAGTAAAGAGATTCACCATGATTTGGTTAATTCATGGGTGGTATTAACTTGTCTCTATCTCGAAATATCAATATATGGATTTATGGTGACAATAAATAATTATATCCTTTTTTATTTAACTTAAGCCAAGAATATTAGGTGTTATTCTTGTGTTTGTTGCAGAATAGTATTATGAGGGCACAATATAGCACATTACAAAGTTATGCCTTTCTACTTCCTATGTCTACCGGAAATTGAAAATATGCTTAAGCTTTTAAATAGATCATCTAATTTCCTTGAAAGTCATGCTTCTGATCTCTGGGAATTCAAATTAACAACTACCAGTTGTCATTTTGGCTTTTATTAGAGTCAATTAAATCAAGCAATGATTGAGAAAGTAAAAAAAAAAAAGAATTCTCAACTCACTCTCTCAGTGGAAACTTGGTATCTTTTATTATGTCTGAGGTCTTCAGAGTTCTGTTCAAATTTCTCCTTTCTATCTCCAGCTTTTTAACTGGAAGACTTAAAATATGAGAAATGTCTCATAATCAAACAAAAATATTTGTTCAGTGTTGTTAAAAGTAAAATAGCTTAAGTCTCACACTACTGGCCTAATTAATTTCAACTTTCATATCCCACTGTGCGTAAGTCAAACGGTAGACTAGCAATATCCTTCTGTTGAAACCACAGTAGAATGCAGCTTCTCATTTGGCCCAGTGGGAGATTAGTAAGTAAGTGAATGGCTGTAGTTAACCCAACTCAAAATCAGGTTGAGTGCCCGATGGTTAGTGCCCTGAATTTGTCTCTTAAAATACCTTGATGTCTGTCTTGCTCACTTTAACTAGCCATTTTGAAGCTATATGTATGTATATGTGGAAAGAGAGACAGAAAGGGCAGGAGAGGAGATGGGGAGAGGGAAAGAGAGAGAGAAAGAGAGAGTCACTGGAGGTCTGGGAAAGAATCTAGATGGATCTGTGCAAATCTATTGCTACCAAACTGACTGAAAAATTAACAGTGACTTCCCACAGAGTAAATTATTGAGGAAGAAGGGAATAATACTAAGGTAGAATCAGCAGAGGAATAAGAAGACTGGTTGGTATGAAAAGGAAAGTTAATGTAAGTGCATTTGAGAATGAAAAAGCAAATAATTTAAAACATACAAATAAGTAGAAATGTAAAGGTCCGACAGATTGTTCAAACTTATTTCTTACACTGTGGGGTGTGTGTGTGTGTGTGTTTAAGTCCTGAAGCAGTTCAAGGATGACAAAGATGATCTTTCATTTCTTGAACTAAATATAAAATGTTCTGTTTAGCATTTCCTACCTTTCTACCTTTCTAGTCTTCTTACACTTTACTCCCTTCCAGTACTCCCCAATCCATTTCTGGGGTCTGAGCATTTCACTGGCTGTTCCCCATGCCTAGGCGTCCCCTCTCTTTCCAGGTCTACCTCCTGCCTTACCTAGTCATCTTTCCTCAAGACTCAGCTCCAATTTCATTTTCAGCAAGAGGCTTTTTCCCCTCCCTAGCCCCAGTGCCTTCCCTGTGGTATTACTTTGCGTTTACACTGTATGTTTCTTGTACATACATAGTGATAGTCATCTTGTTCCATCATTAGAATGTGAGTTCCTTGAAGGCACAGGCAACCATGTTTTGGTTTTCCTTCATATTCCCAGCACTTAGTACATTGCCTGGCACATTGTAAAAAAAACAATTTTTTTTTTTTTGGCTAGGCAATGGGGTTAAGTGACTTGCCCAGGGTCACACAATGTCAAATGTCTGAGTCACATTTGAACTCAGGTCCTCCTGACTCCAGGGCTGGTGCTGCCACCTAGCTGTCCCCACATTGTAAAATTTGACAAATGCTCGTTGGTGGGTTGATAGATTGAGTCTGCCTAGTCTCCACCCACATTTGAAGAACAGTTGTAGTGTGCCCAAGTATGAGGGGCTTGAAGATGCTTGTAGCTTTCAGAGGTTTAGAGTGTTTGATATCATCCCTTACCCAAAGTTCCAAGAGCCCAAATTTTGTGCCCAGTGTAGCAGATGCGCAAGGCAACTGATTCTACTCTGAATTGTGTGACAGTCAGTGTTGTTTAATCATTTGACTAAAGGTCTCCAATATGTAACTCCAGATCTCCACCAAGTAGACTGAATAGGCTTCGAAATAGACCTTTTTAGTTTCAAACATTAAGAATCTCAATGTGAAATAAAAGCCTAATATGGACATTTTTTCTGATCTTTAGGTGACTTGAGTCAGCACCAGAATGTTATAGTTTAATGAAAATAGGGTTTTTCATTAATCGTAATTTGATTCAACACCTGTCATCCCAATGTATCTCCCTACTCCTCCAATTAAGGTCCAAGTAGTGTCCTATAAAAGGAAAATTTTCCTTTGACCCAGCAAAAGCACTTCCAGGGCTGTATTCCAAAGAGGTCATACAAATGGGAAAAGGACCCACATGTACAAAAATATTCATGGCAGCTCTTTTTGTGGTGGCAAAGAATTGGAAATTGAGAGGATGTCCATCAATTGGGGAATGACTGAACAAGTTGTGGTATATGAATGTGATGGAATACTATTATACTATGAAAAATGATGAACAGGCTGACTTCAGAAAAACCTGAAAAGACTTGTACGGTCTGATGCTGAGTGAAGTGAGCAGAACCAAGAGAACGTTGTACACAATAATAGCGATGTTGTACAATGACTAATATTGTTGAACTTAACCCTTCCCAGCAATAGAAGGATCTAAGACCTCTCCAAAGGCCTTGTGATGGAAAATGCTATCCACATCCAAAGAAAGAACTATGGAATTTGAATGCAGATCGAAGCATACTACTTGGTATTTATTTTTCTCTTCGTTGAGTTTTGTTTCCTCTTTCTGGTGGTTCCTCCTATTGGTTCTAATTCTTACTTACAACATCACTAATGTAAAAATATGTTTAATAGGAATGTATATGTATAGCCTATATCAGAATATGTGCCATCTTGGGAAAGGTGGTGGGAAGGAAGGGGGAGAAGGAAGGGGGAGTTTTAAACTCAAAAACATATGGAAGTGATTGTTGATAAATCAAAATAAATTAATTTTTAAAAAGGGGGAAATTTTTCACTTGCATTTAGATTCCATAAAATGAGAATGAATTCATTATACAAACCTCTAAAAATAAAAGGTGAAATGCCTTCTGTGATATTACAGAAATACATCCTCGAAGGGATTGCTTCTCTAACCTCCTGGCACTTCAAGGATGCCAGAGAGTGAAAGAAGGAATCACAAGATGAAAGCTATTATGATTATTTTAGGGGGATTCAGATTTTGCATTTGGTGACTAGAGTGCTTTTAAGTGAATATCTCAGGGCACATTTTGTTAAGAGTGTTGTTATTCCATGTTTTAATGGAGACAGTAACCCTATTTAGGTTGTCAATCGTTCTCCCCCAGAGAGTAACCTTTCACAAATGTTTACTGCTTGAGTACACAAATCAGGAAGGATCAGAGGACCTTGTAGCTGTAAATACCATATCTAAATAGAAACATCTATTGTTTTCCAACCAAGTGTAGGCAACTTGGTAAGTAATTTAGAAACAACTATTTACTTTAAATGAGTCATTAATAAGTAATGCAACCTGGGAAAGATGCTTTTCATTTTTGTTTTTCCACAGGAGCACAAAGCATTGCACAGAAGATGAGTACATACGTTTGTTTTTGTTTTTAAGGATACAATGGTAGCCCTCTCTGGGAGAGAGACATGGAGGTTATCGCTGGTTTGCAGAAGGAAAAATTAAAGCACAGAGACAGAATAACTTGGCCAGCAGTGCGTCACTAAGTGAGAACTCAATCCAGCATTCTGAATTCCCAGTTCACTGACCTTTAGTCTATTAAAAAACATGTGTAACAGCAGGTGTTTACAGTGCCTGATTATACTTGGCCTAACTGTTCTGTCCCAGCTGAATCGGCTGGGTCTGTGTTTACATGAAGTCTTAAGCAAAGAACTTTTGTGGTGACTGACTCCTTTTGTGACCACTTCATCCGTTAGTGCTTTAATTTCCTAAGCTCCAAAATGAACCATACTGCAGAACACCATGAGAAATAATTAATTTATCATTTTGAAATGTCGTGGATTTCCAGAAAGCAACTTGAAGTGATCAATGATTTTAATGTGCATTATTTTATTATAGTGCTTCCATCTAAATATCCTAACATGGTTATTGTAATCATTCAACAATATTGTAGCTAGTTACTTTAAAAAAAATGTACCTGTTGGTAGGTCACCTACATTCTTTGCCCTGGTCTTTCTGTATCCCTTTTATTTCCCCCTTAAGCCCTCCTCCCCAATTCTGGGAGTATGGTAAAGAAATCAAAGAAGATAGTTAGCAAAGCAGGAGGCATTTTATGCCATACATGGAAAGGATTGTCATTTGTTAAAAATTCATTGTTTAAATTACCATGTTTATTTAAATCAGCACAAAAACACAACAACATTGCTAACAAAAAAAATCTACTTTCATGTAACTTAACTCTTCAATGAACAGAAGTACTTCTTTTAATGTTTTGGCTTTTTCAAGGACCAGCCTTGGGACAAAACAATATTTGAAAACAGCAGAAAGACTTTATCCTCCCCAACACAAATACACAAATATACAAATACATGCACACATCCACACGCATCCACACATTGATAAACACACACACTCCTAAAAGTTTTCTAAAGTACCTTCCCAGTAATGAATGCAAAAATGTCTTTAAAACAGTAAATCCCATGTAGATATCGATGTATGATCAGTAATATAACTCACATACAGAGTGAGACAGGTATTTCCCAGGTCCTAAGTCAATCCTTAAGTCAGGAAGCTAGACATTGAATGAATGAATGGGCATTAATTAAGTGCTTACTATGTGCTTACTGAAGCACGTCAATTTTCTCAGGTTACCGTTTAGTAAGGCCTTGAGTAAATTTGCAATAGACTTAGTAATGTAGTTCAATATACCTTATAGACGTAATGGAGGGAAATGAGGTCACAATGTAACGTGGGAGGAAGTATCAAAAGACAAAGAGACCCGTAACTAGTTAGCCCTTGACATTCCAGTGACTATTTTTTTTTCTATAGCTTCAGGTGAGCAACTTCCTTTACCCATGCACATTTAGACCTAAGTATCATCTTCATTCTTTCTCACAATCTCCCCTCCACATATCCAATCAATTGCTAAATCCTGTCAGTTCTGCCTACATAACATCTCTCTTATATATGCCTAATTCTCTCTTCTGACACTAGCACCACCTTGGTGCAGGCCCTAATCACGTTGTTAATTTATTGCCTTAGTTACCTGCGGCACTGAGACAAGTTGTAACTCGCCTAGGGTCACAAAGTCCCAATAACCTGTTCTATTAGATAATGGACAAACTATTAACCTAGTAAACTGCTTCACTTTATGGTTAAACTCATGGTAATTAACATTGCGGAGCCTACAATACCTTGCCTAAATTCCAGTGGGATTTGGCTCTAATGCCTTAAGTTCTACCTTTCACTCAACTGAAGCAATCTTTCTATCATTGTCTTAGGAAAACTATAGAGACTTTCACATCTGTGAATAATCCATAAATATCTCTATATAGCCAAATGTATTTCTCAGATGTAAAGTAAAAATACAAAATTTTGAATGGCTTATGGATGTTATTTACCAGATCAAATTTATAGATTAAGACTGATGTGATAAGGCAACTAATAAAGAAAAAAGTTATTCATGAAGGACTACGATTAAAAACCACTTTGGATTTTATCCTGTATAATCCCCTTTTTATATTATTAGAGCTCTTTGCCAGTTAAGTTACCTGACACTCTTAAAAAAAAGTAATTTTTCTTACCCCGCCCCCCCAAAAAATCCCCAACAGACTTAGGAGTATACAGGAGAAAACCTGAGTTGTGGGGAAGGTAAGGATTTTATAGCCTTGAATAGTTTAATAGTTTAATACACTAAACTCTAGCATCCCTTTATTTTCCCCTGTGTGTCTGTCTCTCTTTCTCTCTGTCCTCCTCTGCCTCAGTCTCTCTCTGGCGACTTCCTAATTTCTAAATTATTTGACTTCTCTTCCTCATGCAGAAAACAAATAAAAAATCTTGCTTGCAGAGCATTGATATGAGGGGATATTGTTTGAATGCAAACTATGAAGGATTCAATGGTGAGTAAAATTCATGGTCTCTGCCTGTTGAGGCTCTTCCCAGTTCCTTCTTGCATTCACCAAAAAGAGGACTGGAGTGATGTGAAACCCTAGCCATTGTAAACCCAAATTATTCTGGTTCACTTCATCTGCAGTCTTACAGCTGGTGCTATTTTGAGAATAATTCTTTCTTAACTGGAATAATATCCAATAAATTACCACTGGAATAATATCCCAATCTCATCATTTACAAGTGCCTTTGGTCGTCCTCTAAGAATGGGGCCACTGTTCAGGAATATGTATGTACTGTGTTGTGTGAGTAGGTATTGGCAAGGTTTTGTGGTTCTGCTAGGACAAAGACAATATTTCTAAAACAAATGAAATTCTAATTCTTCATATTTTTCACATGCAAATTCAATCCGCAGATACTTCTTTCTGAGGATTTTTTTTCCCCAGGCACAAACGCAATAGGTTTTGCATTCATTAACATGATCCCCAAAGTCAAGTCTTTGTTGCTGATACTCCTTTTCTTAATTATTTTGAACCTGGCAGGCATCAGTCGCTAACCTTCCCACAAGTAAGGCTGATCTCGAAATGACCTATTATTATCTTGAGCAAACCTCAATTTATAGCAACAAAGAAATAAAAATTAAATCGTGCAGTTGACATTTTCTATCAGTGAAACAGACTTTTCTAGTGCATGAACCGCTAATGGGAATCTGCGGTAATGCCCATTTTTTGTTTTTCCTGGTGTTTATATGTTACATTTTTAAATGTACTTGTGGAGCCTCTGTACAGTGGGTTGGTTCCCTGAAGAAGAAAAAGAAAAAAGAAAAACTTCAATTAGAGGTACATAAATTTTGCTAGGACTCTATTTTGGTGGCTTTAAGTAATTTCATTAAGTTAAAAATGTTTTGACAAGAAAAAAGTCATTTTGAGACTTCATTTGTATCATTTTGATGTCTTACATTGTACTTACAGTGTTTTCATGTAGACTTTTATTGCAAATAAGTCAAAAATATCCTGAAATATTTTGATGGACAGTTTAGGAAATCTTAACCTTCTTGGAACTGATTAATTGTTAGAAAACATCTTGTACCCTCCAAGTATTATTTGACTTAAAATATATATATATATATATGTATATAGAATGAATGTACAGACTGCTTCAATGATGCTAAACTGTTCCTCGTCCAGATCTTTTCTACACCATAGCAGCATTGTCTTGGCCACGCTATATGCGTGTCATGGAACTCAACAATATTCAGAGAATCCAAAAGGCAGGTGGCCCAAAGAACAGTGGAGAGATACATGGAGAGTACAAGGAAGTCTGTTATTGTTAGTCTGTTATTGATCATGACTTGGATACAAAAAATGGCTTGAGAACTCATCATCAAGGAGATGCATGATTAGAGGAAGTAGGTAGACAAGTTACGTAGTAAGGAAGAGTGATAACAGAAAGTCCAAGTGATACATTGGTATCCACAAAATATGAAATGACAGGTTTCTAGCATGAGTGGGTCCTTAAAAGGATGATATATGAAAGATCACAGATGACAATCCTTAGAATGAGACCTGAGGATAAGTTGCTATCCTATCATGGATGAGATGATGAAACATTCAAGTTTATGAATACCAAGCAATATCCTAAATGAGTAGTATTTAGTCTAGTCTACTAGACTACAATTGAATATTATGGAGTATGGCATCTTTCTCCAGGTTATCCAGGTTGGCAATCTCAGTGTCATGTTTATTCTCTCTCACTTCCTAGATCTAAATAATTTGCCAAGTCCTGCTGATTCTACCTGTATTACACTCCTCACATATACTCCCCTTTCTTCTCTAATGTTGCCACCACTCTGGTCCAGGCCCCTATCACCTCTTGCTTGGACTACTGCAATAGTCTGCTGGTTGTTTTCCTTGATTTGTCTGTCCTCAATCCAGTCTATCCACCACTCAGCTAACAAATTGTTCTGCCTAATGTAGAGGTCTGAGGATGTTACCCTTCATATTCAATAAATTTCAATGGCTCCCTATTCAGGGATCAAGTATAAAATCTTCTGTTTTAGCTTTTAAGGTCCTTCACGACCTGGGCCCCGCCTCCATTTCCAGTCTTTTTATACTTTGTTGTGCTTGTTGTTGCTTAGTCATGTCTGACTCTTTGGGATCCCATTTGGGATCTTCTTGGTGGAGAGATACTGGAGTGGTTTGCCGTTTTCTTCTCCAGCTCATTTTTACAGATGAGGAAACTGAGGCAAACAGATTTAAGTGACTTGCCCAGGGTCACACAGCTAGTAAGTGTCTGAGGCCAGGTTTGAACTCAGGAAGATGAATCTTCCTGACTCCAGTCACCTTGCTGCCCTTTCCTGGTTCCTCTTACATGCTAGTGTCTTCTCTCTGAGATTATCTCCATTTTATCCTGTATTTATCTTGTTTATACATAGTTGTTTGCATGCTGTCTCCTTTATTAGATTATGAGGTGCTTGAAGGCAGAACCTGTTTTTTGCTTGCTTGCTTGCTTTGTATCCCCAGCACTTAGCACAGTGTCTGGCACATAGTAGGTGCTTACAAACACATGTTGACTTCTAGTCTAGGAGAGATATGTGGCCAATTCACCTTCTTTCTATGTGATCAAACCGTATATTCTGTGATTCCAATTCTGGGTTACTGAGGGCATTCGGTTTATTCATTTATTTATTTTAGTGAGTTGGGGGAGGCGAAAAAGTTGAAAGCTTCAAGTATAAAAATAATACAATTAAATTTGTTTTTTTAAAAAAGTAAAGACTAAAAGTAAAAAAGTAACATCTTCTAATTTACCTCTCTGTCCATTCTCTGTATGTCATTCAGTGTGTCTGTGTTTTTCTTACTGGGACTACCGGTTTCAAGTCAACAATCTGGCCCCAAAGCCCAGCGCAGGCCCATTCAGGGAAGGAATTTTAGATTGGATATTGAAAAAAAAATCCTATTTCTTCAAACAGATTTTAAAGTTGCATACCTATCTCAGAAATGTCTTTTTAAATCTGTTCCCTCCTAGTCCTACTGCTGACTCACGAGGTCAGGCTCTCATTACCTCTCTCCTGGATTATTGTAATAGTCTTCTAGCTGGTCTTCCTGCTTCTAGTCTCTTTCCTCTACAACCCATCCTCCACATAATTGCCAAAATAATCTTGCCGATGCATAGATCCGACCATATCACTCCCTTGCTGAAAAAAATTTCAATGGCTCCCTATTGCCTATGGGGGAAAAACACAAAGTCTTTATCTGTTTCTTGAGACCCTCCACAATCTGATCCCAACCTCATTTCATTCTGCTACTCTTTACATACTCTTTTCACACTCCTCACACACTGACTGTTCCCAGATATGATTCTGCTCCCTCCTATCTCTGTAAATTCAGGTGGGCCATCTTCTATGCTAACAAACCACTCCCTCTAAATCTCTGGCTATTGAAACCTCTTCTATCAAGACTCATCTCACTGGACACTTCTTCCCTGAATCCTTTCCTGATCATCCTTCCAACTCACTACTTAAAATGAATTCTCCTTCCTCAAATTTCTTATAGTTCTCTGGAGATCTTCTTTATATGAATCACATTCAATCTGATGTTGTACTTCTTTTTTTACAAGTCTTATGCCTCATTAGATTGTAATATCCTTGAGGGTAGATATTATATTGTATTTCATTTTTTAATTTCCTAACTGGTATAATAACCTGGCATAGAATAAGTTCATATTTTACAAAATCAAATTTAAAAAATCATAGACATTTAGACTAGGAAAAAAAACATACAGATGATTGAGTCTAATCCCCTCAACTTCCAAAGGAAGAAGCTGGGCTGTATTGTTGTTTGCTCTTCGTTCTTGAAGAGCACCATGACATCAGGGAGGTGATGCCATGACTTGTAAGTAAATTGGATTTAAGTGAGGGAGGGCTGTGCAAAGTCACCAGCCTCACTTTCTCTTCGGGAGCCATCTGGGTCCAGTTACAAGATACAGATCAGGACAACTGGAGATGGCACCCACCTGGGCTTTGGGTTTAAATTTTTCACTGCCTAAGATCACACCATTGGCAGTAGGTATAAGAGATACCATATCTCCTAATGAACTCCAGGGTCTTTTTTTTGGGGGGGGGGGTACATGATGTTGCATGGGAAAAAAAAACTTTAGTTCTTTCCTTTGAATAGTGATCTTTCTCAGCCTGTTTAATAGAGTTGCTGGGATGAATGGGGTCTAAGAGCCAAAGGAAGAAGATGCTTTGAATTTTGCTGCAAAGTGGGCCCAGACTATCCTGGAACAGGAAGGAGAGCTGAGAGGCCCTGTGATCAAAGTGACTAGATGACAAAAAAGAGAAGCTGGATCTGAAGCTCAGAAGTCTAGCTACCAGTCCCTCTACCACATCATTTTCAATACTGCCCACTACTAAGAATCACAATTATTGAAAGAAAACTAGGCAATGGGACTAGAGGCAAGTTTCTAAATTGAAAATATTCCCTTTTAATGTGGTGAGTAAGAAGGTGGGATGAGGGTCTGGAACTGAAAAATGAGGAAGTGTATCTTTCTTGGGACATCTAGGTCAGATTGCTACTGGGGTGTGGGTGGGGGTGAGGGGGTTTGCCCTCCTTTATTGAACTGCACTGATTTGAGGAAATGAATGAAAAACATTTATTTAGTGTTTAATATTTGCAAAGCACTATGCTAAACCCTGGATATATATAGATATAGATCTACATACATATACACGTGTGTATGTGAAAACAGGCAACATAGTCTCTTTCCCAACTAGTTTTTTCCCAACCCCATGAAATTTACCCCAAGGTGGGGCAGGGAAAGAGTAGTATGACATGTACCCAAATAAGTTTAGTTGTTTAAATAAGGCACAACCGATAAAATGGATAAAGATTATATTTTGGCTAAATAAATGTTTAGGAAAGAGATGTATGTATATGAGAATGAGAGAGATAGAGATCAAGAGTGAGAGATCTGAGATAGTATTGGGCAATTGCTATGTCACCCTGAGCAAGTAACAGAATCATAGTGTTAGAGCTAGAAGGAATCACAGATGTCATCTAATTCAATCATCTGACTGAATAGATAAGATCTAGAAAGGCTAAATGATTTGCCCAAGGTCATACAAGTAGAAAGTGGAAAAGTAGAGACTAGAGTCTAGGTCCTTTGGCTCACAGACTCCAAATTCAGCACGAGACTCTATATCTCCAAAGTCAGTACATTTACACCTCACCATGTTGCCCCCTAAGTCACTCAAATACTGTTTATCTCAATTTTTTTTTTGTCTGTGAAAGAATGCTACTACTTATCCTTTAGAGCTATGGTGAAAACATTTTTCAAACTTTAATGATCCATGTAAACAAGTTATTATAAGCTCATATGTGCATACTGCCCTCTTCAGTTCCTCATAAATAATTATTTTCCCCTTGAAATAAGCTTTCCATTTGAAATACCACTTCCTGTAATTTTCCCATATTATGGAAAATCAGTAGCCTTATCTTTTTTTTTTTTTTTTAACATAAGGCTAGATTGTATATACCTTGAAGGTACGGCTCTAAGTTCATTTCTTTTAGTCAAACAGGAGTGAAAAAGCTGCTCTAAACGATTAAAGGCACATCCTCTAGTTTGCATGTCTTAATGTTGTTATTGTTCAGTCATTCAATTGTTTCCAACTCTTTTTGACCCTATGGACCATACGATAGGGTTTTCTTGGCAAAGATATGGAAGTGGTTTGCCATTTCATTCTCCAATGGATTAAGGCAAACAGAGATTAAGTGACTTGCCCAGGGTCACACAGCTAGTAAGT